CTTTGAACTTACTAAAGCATTGTCAATGTTCTTTGCTTTTAAGTTTCTTGTAGGGCCTATATAGGTTAAAGTTGTGATAACCATGCTTTTAAGTTCCAACGTGATAATCATTCTCAGTTAACATCTTTTGAAGTGTGATAACTAATTCTAAAAGATGCCATTTTACTTTACCTTGGAATATATCCAAGCAAAACAATCTGGACCATCTTTTCTAGCTCCACTCGCACCAGTCTCTAAAATAATCTCGATTCTCTTGTATCAGGCTTGAAAATGGTGCTTTGGGATGGACGGCATTACTTTGTAACCATTGTCAACTTGTGGGCAAATTTAATAAGTCGTGATCCACCGAACTTGCCACACATGCTCGAAAATGTTGATGGCATGAAAAGACGACAAAGGTATATTTTCCGAAATTTCACGGCATAGATCACACTGAATCATTTTTCTGTCCAGGACGAGGCTTCTGGATTGTAATCGGAGTTACTCTGGTACATGGATTTTACTCTTGGAAGAAAGATGTAGAAGCCTAGTTTCCAAGAGTCCGATATGGTGCGTGGTGGTTAATCCGATCAAATCCGAATATCTATTAAATATTTATCTAGATTGGTTGTCATTCTTTTTGAGAGAGCTGTTATATAGATGTATGATGTAGAAATCCTGCCCTATTTTGGTGATTTGATTGTATTCTTATTCATTTGTAAACCGGGTGAAATCAAATAAGCACCCCATACACTTAGAGATAAAGAGTTGAGAGGCAAAGCAGTTCATCAGTGCCTTTCTTTTCTCACGTACGTGCAACATCAATAATTTCAATGATTACAAAATTAGTTTTAAGTGCCATATTGTGCCACATATGTTGAAGTTCTGTTGTTCGTTTTACGGTTTATGTTCGAGGTTTTCGGCTATCTTATCCAATTATGTTTTCAAGATTTGAAGCAGTATAATGTGGTTTATCACTGTACCATATGTCTCTCCTTATTTTAAAGTCTTTATTGTAGAATGGTTCGAACCTATTGAATGACCAACGTGGTTCATTTCAAGTCCTAAAATCTAGACAAATTTTGAAAAAGGTCCTTTTTCCTTGCAGGCGTGTATAAGATGGGGGTGGTGAGGGGACAGTGTTTGGGAAAATTCAAACCTATGGATATAATCTAGTTAGAAAATGAATGCTATAGCCCTTGTTGAACAAAACAAGAAGCCAATAACATTGAAATTTCAAGGGGTAAAACACATCAATCAAATTCTCTGTTAATGGTGATTAAGGGATCATTCTGGTATAGCTCACTGAGAGTCAAAAGAATGATGATATCCTGATTCATTACTGATCTTATTCACACTTTTCTATGCTCCATCTTCCTACTTACTTCAAAGTTTCTTTTATACATTTGGAGGATCATTATTCTTTTGTATATCATGTTTAGAATTGCTTAATTCGGTTTCTGTTCTAGTTTCAACTTTTAAAACTGATAAAATATAAACTATTACTTGAAAAAAATCATGAAGAACATTGAATATGTAAATCCACATCAGCATTTGTAAACAATTTCAACACCCACATTAAAAGTTTGATCAAGAATGTATGATAACAAATTCATATTCCTTTTTTATGCATACAAAATCTCCTGCAAACCAAAACATCATTCCTGATAAGAGCTCCTAAAAATGAACTTTGAATATATAGGTCCAAGAAAAAATGAATAGGCCTTGAGTTTCCTAACAAGTTTGTAAAATATATACAGATTTCTCAAAGGTGTATGATGTATCAGTTGCTTTGCATTGCTACTTGTTGTGTAATGGATCAGGACAAGAGGGAACTTCTCTGTTAATTGTAGCAAAGAAGCCATCTGTCCCATTATCCACACTCTGCTGATTCTTCCAACTTCTCTGAGCCGTTGTTGTCTCCTCTTCATCTTCAACCTTCAGAAACCTTGCTCCCAATACCCCATGGTTTAGAGCTGAAATGCTCAGAAACATCAACAAAAGAGAACCTGCTAAAAGGCCCTTTGAGACCATTGTGTCTTTCACAACAAGATGCTGAAAAAGGGGGGATGGAAGACTATAAAGAAAGCACGAGAGAGAGAGAGAGAGAGAGAGAGAGATGGGACTGGAAGTTTTAAGTTGGTAGAAGTATTCTATAGGGATTCAAAGCTAAAAAAAAGTGAAAATATTTTATGGCCAAATTCTCTTGCATTGACAACGAGAGTGATGTGTAGACCTTGTTTTGCTTGTGCAGTCTCCATTGGAGGAGCCCCTCTGCAGTTTTTCTTAATAATTTTGATTACCAAGTTGTCCCCTATGTGATCATGGTGCATATGAAGCGTTTTCTTGGGAACTTAACCAAGTTGCCAATACAATTTACTATGTCATAGACATGTTATTGTTCTTGTAAGAAAATAATACCGGAAGAATCAGGCGAGCGTAGGATTTATGTTAGGAACAAATTTATAAAATACTAGAATGGTTGAATGGTTTGAAGTCATCTATACTCACCTGATTTATTCTAATCAAAGATGAACAGAGGGGCTTACGGAGTGGTTCCCTTGAAAATTCAGATTTTAATATAATTTGATTATTTTCCTTATTTTTTTATTGATAATTTGTTTTCACCTAAAAAAATTATAAACTCACTCTTTATAACATAAAATTCTGCACCCGTCCCTAATTACAATCTCAAACTATGATATTTCCAGCCAAGCCTAGCTAATGTCACTCAGATTCCAACAAACTACACCTAACTCAAATATTTTGTCTAAAAAGAGCCTCATTTTGAGGATCTTATATTTGACTCTCACTTCCCCTTTCTTCCTATATCCCATCTTCTAACCATTGGATTTGCTAATGTCCATATTAATGCAGTTTTCAAGGGCTACCAGCTCTGTATTTATATTAAAAAAAAACTGGGTTCATTGCCTTTTGAAGAAGACAATACATTTACCTTATAAAAAGGCATCTTCATCTTTTCTGCTGTTAGCCTGTGGGGTTTAGGTTCTACTAATAATATTTTAGTGTAGGTTTGTATCTTCTCATGGACTTCCTTGTGGCAGCTATTTCCAAGTGCAAATAGCGGTTTTTTTTATAAGCTTGTTGAGATTTGTCTTTACTTTGACCCACTTTTTTATCATTCATCTTTTGCATGATTATATTTATGGAGGGACAAAATAACTTTTACTCCTTGAATTTTGTGTTTTTTCAATTTAATCCCTAAACTTTTGTGCCCTTTTTACTTGTCAACTTTTTTCACGTTATAGTCATAGTCCAGTAGTGTTGTATTAACAAAATGATTAAAAAGAAAAAAGAAATTTCGAGATCGATTTGAAGAAAAGAGTTCAGAGACCAAATTAGAATAAGTTAATAAGTTAAAGGATTAAATGTTATTTTATCCGATATTTATGAATCAAAAGTATAGGTACCCTAACATGCTAATTATGAGGGGGATGTCTGACATTATTAGAACTTTGAGGCCCCAAAATGAGAGAGGATAAGCCCACGTGTCCTGACTCAAAGGGTGGGCATGGAACAAAATTCATGAGAAAAACATATGTTTAAGGACACTTCCAAATTCTTTTTGTCCAATGGGATCCAATGCATGAAATGATGTGAAGTTGACCATTGCTTGTGTTGCTCAATTAACTTGTCCTCAAACAAACCTTTTAATCAGTGTTGAATTATTGGATTCAAAGCTGCAAGAATTGAGTATTGAGACACTTTTTACTATTATTAACCCTAAATACCCAAAATGTTTGCTCATGATCCTAGCCTTTTCATTCTGCCATAGGGTGAGTAGGGGTGAGCGTTCGATCAAGTCAAGTCGAGTTGATGAGTCATATTTTACAACTCGGAGTTGATTTAAAAAATTTTTCCAGTCTAGTCGGTTTTTCGAGTTTTTGTTTAAATTTAATTGTAAATATTTATAATATTATAATATTATTTTATTCTAATTTAAGTGATTTTCTATAACTATATATATAATACAAATATATTTCTTCATATTTTTTCATATGTAATATACACATATCATACAAAGTCGAATGACTCGACTCAAACTTGAAAATAAATCCACTAATCACTAAAAATTTTGAGTTATTCGAGTTGTATTTTACAACTCGATTTGAACTTAAAATTTTTTCGAGTCGAGTTTATGAAATTACAACTCGAAGTCAATTCAAGTTGAGTTTTTTCGGGTAGAATCGAGTAAAAAAATCATTTTTTCAAATCGAATCGAGTTTTTTTCTCACCCTAACGGTGGGTGAATCATCTTCTGCAGGGAATTTGCTTAGATTTGGTTTTAGTCCCTCTACTATGCTGAAATCTGAAATTTAATCCCTCAGATTAAATTAGACATTCATCCACTTTAATAATATTATCAAGATGTCCAAGTTGATGACACCATTAGTCAAGGGCAGACACATGATTTTATATTAAGGGAGGGACGAACTTCCAATATTATAAGAGATGATGAACTTATAAAATTCTAAGGTACGAAAACGGATTATCTTCCATTAGTTACTGTTGTTGATGTGGTTGCATGAATCTTTTTAAAACAACTTTAAACATTCGACCAACATGTATATTAATTATTAGTTAAATATGATTGATTAGATTTTCACATCACCTTGTGCGATCGAATAAGAGTATAAAAAACTCCACATCACTTTTTTTTTAAGTATTGGACCAAATTAAACAGAACTAAAATAAAAGGATAAAATCCAAAGTTTTAGCACATATAGGGACTAAAATATTAATTAGACCTTTACTTGTTCGAGAGCTTGACCTCTTATCAACCAGCAGCCGGACGTTTAACCGGCATCCGGTAGGAGTGTAATCGATTCAGTTCATTTTTTCACTAAAATATGAACCAAATTGCACTTTGCTCTGCCCTAGTATCCACCAGACTGGTTTCTCGGGTCTACATTACGAAAGAACCAGAGGGCAAATGAGCTCTGTTTAGAACATATGTTTTGAAAGGAACAAACTGTAAATCAAGTTCGAAGAGAAAATGGTGAAGAAATGCTATTACATTGGAACAGTCGCTTGTAATATATATTCCCACAGCACTAAAAATGAATGAATACATGATGTTTTACCTGATCAAGAATAATATTTCAGCCGATTAACAGCCGAAGGATCAAAATTCGCTTTCTCTGTAATCTACAACTAACCCGATTACGACAGTTTCCTCTTATACCGAAACGGTGAACAGATAGAGCTTGAGCACAACAGCAATGGCCAGCTGCAAGAGAAAGACACCAGCAACGATCAAGAACCAACTTTCTCCGGCCGAAGTAATGTGAGCTTTGAGATTAGGCGCAACAAAAGTTGCCGACATAAACCCGGCTACACCTGCAATTACCCATCTGAAAATTTCCAAGGGGACAACAGATAGACACTGCAACCAAGTACAAGCAACAATTTTAGATGAAAAATTTGTCATAGAACATTGCAGAAAGGTTGCTAAACTTTACACGGTTCAGATAATACACTCTCCGACCTCCGTAAATCCCGGTGTCGGCTTCACGGTGAAAATTTTCCACAGGAAGTTTCAAGCATAAGGGATTTATTTTCTTCGAACAGTTTACCCGGTTCTTTAAGCAATTGGAATCTCTATAAATTATAACCCAAGTAAAAAAATTACAACAAAAGTTTTTCCAACTCCGAAAGATAAATGAGAAATTGGCAGACAAACAAGCTTAACATTTAAAGAACTTACCATAGCTGGAATAAAGATAAATAAGGAGTATCCATATAGGCAAAACAATTGTACAAGGCCTGATGGTGCTGAGAAGTACTTGAGAATAACAAACAAGACGAGAGGAACCATGGTGACATATCCATAGAACACACCAGCAGACCATGTAATCAGATTTATGTCATAATTCCATTCTTTGTCCCGAAGCTTGTGTGCTATATAGGTCACAAAAGTCCCAATAGACGCTGCTACAAATATAAGAGTGGTGCAGATCCAGAATGGTCCATATCTGCATAACATTGAAAATCTTCAATCATGCATGAAAAGCAAAAGACGAGTTCTGAAGGGACAAAGTGAAAGATTTCTGGGAGAAGAAAGTTATTATATGGCAGTTAATGAGAGGAAAATCAGATTTTCAGAAAAGCATACTTGCACGGTCGGATAATGATCCATAACCAAGAAATTAGAACTTGTCAATGACCAATTCTTTTTCCTCTTTGTTTAGTGTTTTAGGCACCCATTCCTAAATATATGTTTCTAATCATATGAAATAGCAAAGAAACTTTCCAGTCTCGAGCTTAAATAAGTTTCTGTACACCTTGATTCGATAACTATTCAAACTCTCTATCTATAAATACAAATGAACCAGGGGAAGAGAACTCACAAATCTGGATTGGTAGCTGTTTTCTCTGTAAATGTTCCTTTAAATGGATAGAGTGACTCCTTAAGTCTATCCAAAACATCTGAAGTATCAACATCAAAGTACGGCTTATATGCAGCAACAGTGAATTTATGAAGCCAACCACCTCCTTGTGATTCATCAGATCCCCTAGGAGAGCCAGCAGCAGGTCTCGTAAATGAATCTGCCTCAAAAAGTGCCATCAGTTGTCACCAACATAACAACTAATTTCGTTCATGCAACAAGCTAATTAGATTTGTCATTCGAACTATACACATCACAAATTACTTTTAATCTATTTGAAAGTTACTTTCATAGAAGCTATATCAAACTTATCGACAATGTTATGGATCATCTTTCGTACTAAGAAGTAGAACTTTATCAAACCAAATCTTTAAATTACTATTTCATCGACATGACGAAAAAGCTAAAGCAAATTGGTATACACAATGCCACTGAGATCATGAATCCTTTATATAATGCACCAGGGCACACAAATCAAAGCATAAGAACTGCCGCGAATCAGACTAACCCAAAACAAAACCAAAAATTAAAGGAAGTTGAATAGAAGAAAATGAGAAATACCGTCTGCATCACGTGGAGGTTGAGCTCCACCAGAGATCTTTCCCTGCACACCAGAGATCTTCGTTCGGATATTTTTCACCATATTCTTCAAATATATTACAAACAATGGCAATGAATTCTCAAAAAAAAAAAAAACCCTCCTTTCTTTAACCCCTTGCCTGTCATGGTAATACTATATTTCAGAGCATCAAGCCATTAGCCATGGATACCTCCATTCTGTTATATAAAAGCAGCATCTATGCCTAGCTTCGGACCGCGATGCTCCCGTCTTCTAACTGAAAGGGAAACAACGACATGATTCTATATAATTTGAAAAGAATACGCAATTGTACGACAAGTAATTATTATGCGACTGTCTTCGCATTGCATTCCGACTTACAAGCTTATTTCGAGGATGAAGCGAAAAGAGATCAACTCTGGTTGGTTTACCTGAAAGAGCATCGATGTTGCTGCAGCTACGTTCCAAAGAATTGGAGCCTTACTCCGATAAACTACAAAGGGTTTGTATCCCAAGGACGCCAGATCATTAACTTGACCTCCAAGTAATAGCTGATATTTGTTCATGTCATGCATTTTTTACTCTACCCCCCTGTAAGCAATAGATATCTTTGGAGAGCAAGTATAAGAACCCAGGCTGCAGCTGAAATGTTCTCTTTGACCATCAGAAGCAACGCGGAGCTTAACACAGTTTTTGTGATTTGAGCCTCTAATCCATTGAAAAAGCCGGAAATCCTTTCCCTTTTGCAGATAGTACGGACAACATCTAACACTGTTTTCCGTGGTTTTCGTTGAGCTCTCTTGGTTTTATCATCGTCGTTGTCGTCTGGATCTGCGGCTTGGATCATTACCTTGCACCTGCATTGAGGAGATAAACACATTACTTCAGTAAAATCAACTCCAGTGCATGCTTCTACGATGTCACAATATGGGAGAGCTGCTATTTACCTGATTGCCGGATAAGTCAAAATAGTTGCAACACTCTTCGAAACTGCACCTAACAGGAAATCTGTGAAGGCAGACAGAACAACCGGGGATGAACCGTGGTCTGCTTCCTTCAATTTTTGCTTAAGTAGTCTTTGTTTCAGCTAATCAAAAACTGTCAACTGCAGTTTACCATAATTCTAGCTTTAGTTACGAGGGCAAGAACTTAACAATCAATATTCGATAGTAAGAATCGAGAATAGCGGTATATGCAAGCACCTGAATTGAAGGGTTGGAGGTAAGAAAAAGAGATATGCCGAGGCCATCGCATCACTCAAGGTGCCCTCTGAGAGGGTCTTCCAGAGCCCTTTCGATTTTCCAAACGCACTGGTTTGCATCCTTGAGGAGGGTGTATCCAGGGGGCTACGAAGTGATAAACTAGGTATTTGGCATCACACACCATAATCAAAATCGATATTATTGTTAAATTTATCAAACAATTTAAGTATTTTAAATAATTTTGAGTTAATATAATATATATATATATATATATGAAATTATTCATAAAAATTTTAAAATTATTACTTGAGTTAAAAAGATTTAATTTGATGATTGTATATATAAATTATTCTTAAATTTATCAAATAATTTCATACATTTTCAATAATAATAAATTGATATATATGTGTATATATATATATATATATATAAATATGTATATATATATATATGAGATTATTAGTAAAAAGTTAAAATTATTACTGAAATTAAAAAGTTTAATCCCCCATGGCATATGTTCTATTCATGACATCGTCACGATTGGCATATGTTCTATTCATGACATCGTCACGATTGATCAAGAAGATGACTCTTATTTGTTATCATATAATATTTCCTACTTTGGACCATCGGATGTCTCACACCGTTTGACTCTGATTTATGATTTATCGGATGTCTTTCAATAACATCATCCTCTTTTGTGGTTTGTTTATCGATGCAGTCAGATTTGATATCTTTATTTTATTCGAGTTTTTTTTGTTAGGTTTTTAACAATTTTCTTTTTTGGTCCTTATATGATCTAAGTGGCTAGTTTTTATCTCAATGATAATAGGAAAATGTCATAATTATATTTTAAGTTTACGATTATACTTGTAAATCTTCATTATAATTATAATTTTTTTATTTTTAATAAAATTAGCGACTTTCTATAATATATATATATATATATATATATATAAAGTTGTGAGTTAATAAAATTGAAATTCCTAGGAACCAAAATTGACCCCAACCTCGAGCCACTAATGAGGGAGAAAGTGATTGATTGTGAAATTTTTTATATAGATAAGGAAAATTGTAAAAATTATTTTCCAAGGAAACAAACAATCATCTTTTCTTGGCCAATGGAAGTTTCACCCAAAACCACATTGTATGCATCCGAAAAATATTTAGAACGTTTCTTATTAGTAAACATAATATTGAATATTCGTTTAGTAATTTTGTCTAAATATATATTTTTGGTCTAAAATTTAGGTTTGAAAGTAAAATTATTACCAGACGGATAAAATTTAAATGTAAAAGTGAGTTTAAAATAGTAGTTTTAAACTAATCGTAAAAGCCGAATTTTCTAACTTTTTCAGTTCAAATTTTCGTTTAGAAGTAAAGTTATGCTTTTACCCTTACTGTGGTACATGAATTCCACTCCTTTTCTCAAAAAAAAAAAAATCAATTGTTTCTATAAATTACGTATTAATTATATACAATTATGTTTTGTCCAAAAAAATTAATTCATTTTATATTTTATTACAATTATACTTTTCATTTGTATCTTTTTATAATTTAATTTGATATATTTGATATATTTAAATATTAATAAATTTAAAATAATTTAAAATAATTTATTTTTAATTTATAATATAATGTTTAAAAGAGATTTTTGTGTTGTTAAAAGTATTTTTGGATAACAATAACAAGCACTAAGATCTTAAATTTAACTTTCAAAATCACTTTTAAAAATACTTTTTAACATCACTTTTTAAATATACTTTTTTTATTAAAAAAATGTTAAACTGGCCCTAAAAGTATCACAAAAGTCCACTAAAAATAATACGAAACTTACTTATGTGATTAAAAAAATCGTTGTTGTTCCTAAAGGTCACAGGTTCGAGCACCAACGGTTGTAGTAGGATGATTGAGAGTATTTAGAATAGATACTACTTATAATCATATTAGTTTAATATAAAAAAAATCCTCTAAAAAATATGATTCGCCAAATCCTACTATTAGATCTTTATTCAATGGTCATAGTCTCACAAAAGTATTTAGGGTGCGTTTGGTCTACGAAATGTAAGATTACCAGTAGGAATATGATTATCGGAGGGAATAAGATTACAAGGAATGTTGTATTTTGTGTTTGGTTCGTTTAGTAGGAATGTAAGATTACAATGTTTGGTTAAAAGAATAAAAGATTATTAGAATATATATTTTACCAAATTGTCCTTATTATATATTTATTTTTTAACAAGTTGAATTTTATTATAATATTACTATAATTAATTTATATATTTTCTTTAAAAATTTTAAATTCATAAAATTTATATAATTTTTTTTACAAAATTGAATAGATAAATAGGTTTAATCAAATGGTAAAATTTTATTTTAATAAAATTCTAATTATGGATTTTTATTTATAAATCTAAAATAGTTTAAGGATAAATTTTTAATTTAACCTTCATAGAATTTTTATTATTCAATTACAGAAGAAGAATATTTGTGAAGAAAAAAATTAAGGGCATTTTAGTCCAAAACGCTGGTAATCCAACAATACCTAAGGGAAGTGGATAATCACATTCCCGGTAATAACCCCAAAATACCACTACTGAAAATAAAATATTACCGGGAATAAAATTACTAGCCAACCAAACGGGAGAATGATATTTCATTCTCCCGGTAATCTCATATTACCTGAACCAAACACCCCCTTATAGTAAGTGATGGATTATTATTTTTTATACAAAAAAGTTTAAATCAATGATGACTCCCCAGTTCAGGATTAAGGCATACCTAAGATCCAATTAGAATTTATATAGGAATTACATATTGCCCACTAAGAGTAACAGTGGTAGAATTTGAACTTGACCTTACAAGCTCAAATCCCTGAATTTTAATCACTTGTGCCAATATTCGTCGGCATAAGTGAGTAAGTGAAGGACTATATGCACAAATCAAATCATTTTAATGTATTTATTTTAGGTTCTGTCATTTTATGTGACTTATGGCGATATAGCTAGTCTGATACGAGTTAGTATAGACATAAGACTAATTCGTATTCTTATACAATTTTAGAATCCGTTGTACAACATTTTCACTCTCGAACAAGAAGATATGACCCCTACAATTAAATAATATTGCTTTAATCCATCTCAGAATGGCTCAATAATAAACTTGTGAGCTGAGCAAGACTAAGGAGTAATGGGTTAGGAACTAGAGATTAACTGAGGGGTGTTGGAGTGATGTCGCAATTAGGGGTGTACAAAAAGATTCGATTCGATCCGATTAGAAAAAAATTCGGATAAATACATCGATTATAAATCGATTTTTAATATAATATTATAAATACAATTATTATACATCGATTTTGTTTAATAAAATGACCGTAAGATAATATCTGTTTAGATTTTATACTTCAAATCTTAACACATCATCAGTGCTCAAAAGTTAAAAACTTACCAACCATGCACCCATGCACATCCATATAAATGCCTAATTCCTAAACACTACCAACCCTTTAAATATTTATTTACCTTATATAATCCAGCTTGAAGAGCTTATCCCAAGTACCAAAAATGGCTGCCAAAACCCTCCATTCTAACCAAAAACTCTTCACCCTCTCCGTTATACTTCTCTCTTTATCACTTCTGGCTCTCATTTCGTTGTTCGGATCGAGATATAATATTGTCGATTCCCTTAGACTTGAGACGTCCCTTAGACTCGAGACGGATCAAACCAATCAAGTGTTCGAGAATCCAAGGTGGTTTGATCTTATTCAAGAAGAGATTAGTGGTAATCAGAAGATTAAGGTTGG